ATAAAGGTTTTATCCATTATAGATTAGCGCAATATAAAAAAGCTCAAAGTTATTTTGAGAAAGCGTTAGATGATCCACATAATAAAGATAATTTGAAAATAAGACACATTTTGGGAAAAATATATATAAGTTTTGGCAAAAACAAACAAGCTAAAGAGCAATTCAAGCATTGTTTAAATGTTTATAAACGTATTTACCAAGATAAACCTCACCCGGGTGTTGCTGCTTCTTTAAATAATCTAGGAGAAGTGTATAGAAATAAAGGACAATATGATAAGGCGATTAAGTACTATAATGGAAGCCTAATGATGAACAAACTCATCTACCCTGATCAAATTCATCCGTCTGTTGCTGATTCTTTAAACAATCTAGGAGAAGTGTATAGAAATAAAGGACAGTATGATGAGGCAATTAAGTACATTGAGGAGAGCCTAAAGATAAAAAAACTCATCTACAAAGATGAACTTCATCCGGATGTTGCTGCTTCTGTCAATAATCTAGGGTTAGCTTGGTCTGATAAGGGACAATATGATGAGGCGATTAAGTACTATAAGATGAGCCTAAAGATAGACATTTTCTTCTATCAAGATAAACCTCATCCGGATATTTCTGGTTCCTTCAATAATCTAGGGAACGCTTATTCAGCTAAGGGAAAATATGCTAAGGCAATTAAGTGCTATGAAGAGAGTCTAAAGATGAGAAAACTTATCTACCAAAATGAACCTCATCCGGATATTGCTGCTTCTTTCAATAATCTAGGGAACGCTTATTTCGATAAGGGACAATATGATCTGGCAATTATGTACTATGAGAAGAGCCTAACGATGAAAAAACTTATCTACCTAGATAAACCTCATCCGGATGTTGCTGCTTCTTTAAATAATCTAGGGAACGCTTATTCCAATAAGGGACAATATGATCAGGCAATTAAGTACTATAATGAGAGCCTAAATATGAGCAAAGTCATATACCAAGATATACTTCATCCGGATGTTGCTGCTTCTTTAAATAATCTAGCGAACGTTTATTGCGATAAGGGACAATATGATCTGGCAACTATGTACTATGAGAAGAGTCTAATGATGAAAAAACTCATCTACCGAGGTAAACCTCATCCAGATGTTGCTGCTTCTTTAAATAATCTGGGAGAACTTTATAGAAACAAAAGACAATATGATGAGGCGATTAAGAACCATGAGGAGAGCCTAACGATGAAAAAACTTATCTACAAAGATGAACTTCATCCGGATGTTGCTACCTCTTTAAATAATTTAGGAGAAGTGTATAAAAATAAAGGACAATATGATGAGGCGATTAAGTACTATAGTGAGAACCTAAAGATGAACAAACTCATCTACCATGATCAAACCCATCCGTCTGTTGCTGCTTCTTTCAACAATCTAGGAGAAGTGTATAGAAATAAAGGACAATATGATGAGGCGATTAAGTGCTATAATAAAAGCCTAGGGATAAACAAATGCATTTACCATAATTATCATCCATCTGTTGCTGCTTCTCTCAATAATCTAGGGAACGTTTATTCCATTAAGGGACAATATGATCAGTCGATTGAGTACTATAAGGTGAGCCTTGAGATCAACAAAATCCTCTACAAAGATGAATCTCATCCGGATGTTGCTGGTTCTTTAAATAATCTAGGGTTAGCCTATGCTGCTAAAGGAGAATATAAGGTTGCCCTTGACTATAGTAGTGAGGCTTTAAATACACTATTGGTTTTCCCGAACCATCCTTATCAAAACATAATACAAAATTTTGTTTTGGAACTAGAGGGTAATTTATCTACAACCATGTCTGTCACTAATGATAATATTTTTGCGGATGTTTATCTGTTAGGGGATGATTCATCTGCAACAAATCAGAACTTACCACCAGATCTACAAATAACATGATTATTTCCGGTGAAGAACAGAAAAGAGTCTCTCACTTTTTATACTTAAACCGAGTTTGATGTAACAAGGAATGGAAGAGCTATATCTTTTATTTGAATCATACCTACTTTTCTACCATTTACAAAAGATGCAACAGAACGTCAAAAAATTTTATGATAAAATTTACTATATGAGTGAAGATATGGAAAATCGTATGAAAGGGCAACTGTTACAGCAATTTGCCAAACGCACTTCATGCCCTAAATATTGGGCTAATCAACTCAGATTAATTTTTTCGAGTTTTGCATTACATTAGTAAAATATACACGTAATATATTTTTACATCAGTTTTAAAGTTTTCTAGAACTGTACCAGATTGAAAGGAAAGAATAAAGATTTAATGTAAAGAGATTACTATAATATAAAGGACTGATTTTACAACATTTATGCTAATATTATCAAAACCTGGCTGAATATTTATTCCATTATTATTTTTAGCAATAATTTCTTTAATTACGCTTCACGCCGATGTGGCATTTCCGTTAACTTTTTCATCAGCTTAGACTCGTAAAATTTTTTTGAGGGTTTTTTCAAATATATTTTTTATAAAACTTGCAGTTTCTTTTGTTTTCATTAATTTTTATAAGAACATTTTATATTACTTTTTTTTTATATAAGGGATTTAAACAAGTTTTTAGAGGAATGGAATTGGAGATGACTTAGTATTTATATCCATCCAAGGAATTAGAGATGACTTAGTATTTATAATAAGTTTTTCTGAGCAAATGCTTTTTTATACAACTTAAACAAAGGGTTAAGAGTCAGCGTTAGGGTTAGAGTTTGGGTTGCTTATAATTCATAACTGGACTCGAAAACCGGTTACTTTAATTGAACACAATAGGCCGTAGGAGCCTCAGGGAAAAAAGGACCGCGTGAAACTATTGTATATATATATATATATATATATATATATATATATATATATATATATATATATATATATATATATATATATATATATGCCATATATATATATATATATATATATATATATATATATATATATATATATATATATATATATATATATATATGCCATATATATATATATATATATATATATATATATATATATATATATATATATATATATATATATATATATGCCGTATATATATATATATATGCCGTATATATATATATATATATATATATATATATATATATGCCGTATATATATATATATATATATATATATATATATGCCGTATATATGTATATGCCGTATATATATACATATATATATATATATATATATATATATATATATATATATATATATATATATATATATATATATATATATATATATATATATATATATATATATATATATATATATATATATATATATATATATATAAGTTATGACTATCACGAGAGTAACGTAGTATGATAAATCTGGTTGGCAGACGATCCCAAGGCTCAGAATTAGGTCAAGTTTTTCGTTTGCCGTATTTTCCGTAACAACACAAATATTAATACGGTTGAAACATGATTCCATAGCGTAAAGCAATGTGACGTAATGTTTATTTTTTGGCGAATAATTAAGTATTTAAGATGAGAAAAGAATTGTTAAAATATTTGTTTTATGCAATGGTTTTATGTGAATATTTAATTATTGGTCATGCGTGGTAAAATGTTTTTATCAAATAGTTACTCAATACAAAGTTTGTTAAACGTGATTTTATACTATAATACTAATGTGTTTATGCAATTTATATTTAAATCAGGATATTAGAATAAAATTTGTGATCATAATAACAAAGTGAATCGCGATTCACTTTGATATTATGATCACAAATTAAAAAGATATTTTGATAATTAAGAAAACTGTTGGTTGGTTTGTTTATTAGTGATTTTGTGAGGATGGCTATGGAATTATTTCTAAAACCAAAATTTTGAGTGTAACATGCATGAAATATTTGGTAAAGGGTAATCCTGCAGTTAAGCGGCGTAAAATAATTTTATTTTTTTGCTTGAACATACTCTACTGTGGTGAAAATGAATAAGTAAATCTGAAAGTTACGCTTAGTGGTTTTATTTTATTAGTTCTAAAGTAACTTAAAAAAAAAACTCAAAAAAAAACAAAAACGCTTGACATGAAAGAAAAGTGAATGTAATAATCATTGCTTAATTTTTTATTTAATCATTTATATTATTTAATCTTTAATATTATTAAGTAATCTAAAACAATTTAAAATATAAATTAAAAAAAATATATACAAAAATATATTTATTTAATAATATTATTCAAAATATAATAATATAAAAATATAAAATATTTTTATTTAAGTAAAAATAAAATAAATAAATATTAACAATATAAATGATAAAATAATTAAATATCAACAATAAAAACAAATAAAAAAAAATAGTAAACTAAAACGTATAAAGAAAAAACTACTTTGCAATTTATCGACTTTGGTTTTTATAACTTTTTCGAACTTTTTAAGTCTCTACGAACGAGAGCGCTAAAAGCAAAGTAATAAAATTATTTTACGCCGCTTAACTGCAGGGTAACCCTTTTTAAATATTAGATATAATATTAGATAAGGTATAGTTGTTTTAAAAATATTGTTTAAAAGATATCATCACAGAGGTTTCCATAAATCAAAAATATATAGGTAGTTTATGTATATAGTTTTGACTAGCATTTAACTATTGCATTGTTGTATAGTTTTGAATAATTTTTTAAAGTATGAAATATTAGAGATTCTAAATTCTTTTTGACTCCTTATATGTTCATGTTTTTTGGTTTTGTTTTCGGATAAAATAATTAGAAAATGCCTAAAAGCACATGCTTTTTTCAATTAAAATGGCTTGTTGACAGAAAAGACAGAAACTGTTATGATTTTCAGTTAATGTACTAAAGACATTAATATTGCTATCATAGAAAAAGCTGCTTTAACTTCGCACATGGAAGGTAAAAAGCACATAAAGAGATCTCCTTCTGCAAACAATATCAAGCCATTGATGCCAACTGCCACTAGCACTGTTTAAGTTAATGAGTATATGTCAAAATACTCAAATTAAGCAGAGCATCAAAAAAATTAGTTAAATGCTAATAAATACATATACGCTAGAAGCTGAAGTTTGTTGGCTCCTTAATATTGTTTATTCTAAATATTCAATGAATTCTTCAGCTGATTCTGGTAAATTATTTAGAAAAATGTTTCCAGATAGTCATTGCTAAGTTATTTCAATATGGACCCTCCAATGCAACTGGCATTGGTGGGTCCACATTGAAACATTTTAAAAAAGTAAGCTAATCTGAATGTTAAAATAATCGGATTAGCTTATTTTTTAAAAACGAGTTGCTCACTTCCCTATCTACATACATCTTATTATGCTGTTACAAAAGTAAATCAAGGTATTTGTACAATCAAAAGATGATTTACAAAAAAAAAAGATGATTCATGAAAATTATAAATTCACTGCTAAATCTTAAAAGCATACTTTTGTAGTTATAGTTATATGAGTTATATATTTGAAGTTAATTTTGTAGTTATAGAGTTTTAGTTTTTGTTTCGTTGTTTTACTAAAACCCTATTTATATTATGAGTATTTGAAATGATTATGATGTTTTTGAAATTAGTTGCATTAAAAGTTTCCTTTCAAATAAAAAATAGTTCCTTGTTAAATTTTATTTGAACTTACATTTAGTTATGCAGTGCTGGTAGCTATTTTTAAGTAGCTGTAATATATTTCTTTATTCTACATTTGATTTCTAAATTAATTTTCATTTAGTAGCGTATTTTGTGTTATCTTTGGGCTATCTATAAAAAAGTCTATAAAAACTTTTTATATTGTACGTCCTAGAAATAATGAACCAAATATCCTGGTAAAAGGAAAAAATTGTCCTGGGTAATCCTGGAATTTCAATAGTTTTTTCTGGTGTGAACTCTGTTCAAAACAAAATTCGTTTGAATTAACTAACGAGGGCCTCTTGTCTAGATGCTTTTCTTTGTTAATCCAGAGATTATAGCAAGAAAATTTATATCTAAAGATATAGCACAACTAATCTAATATTGAACAGTTCTATAAATTTATATATAAATCAAAAAAACTGCATCAGTCTTGCAAAGATTTATCAGTTGTATAAATGTGAGTATATAAAAATAATGATAAGCTACAGTATTGTGCAAATTGGTTGCATCAAAAAAAAAAATTTATTTGTTGTTTTATTTTTATTTGTTTATTCTTTAGTTAGGTTTATTTCAGGCCTTTAGTATGTCCGTAAAAAACACTTATAAAAAACAAGTATTGTTGAAAACTCTCACCCATACCCCTACCAAATCTCAACCCTGAAAGTTAGGGTTACGCTCTGGGTTTGGTTTGCGTTTTTTGTATGTTACTGCAGGGCCTAATGTGGCGCCTTACACTACTAATGCAATTATTGATCAATAATACAAAATGCATTTATTGATTTCACTATCATTATACATTTTCATCATCTAAAAGATAGTATCATATTGCAAAATCTGTGACACCAAAAGCATCATTAATATGGGCAATCATAAGGTTGTTACAGGTTGCATAAAATGCTTTAGATATGTTCAGAAACCGTTGGTAAAAGCACCAAGAACAACAGCAAATTATTGCTTAACTTTTAGATCTTATTTCTGACAAACTATAATGATATCATTAACACCTAACTAAATAATTCAATAATAAATCATTTAATTTTTTATATAAATAATTTTATTTTCTTGTATTATTTGTTCAGAATTATATAGACTACTGTATAAAACGTTTAATGTAAATGTTACTCACTATATATTAATATATGGAAAAATTCTTTAGAACCTAATAAATAAGCTGAGATGTCGTCAGGTGACATTTCAATAATTGCTCTCTTTTGTTACCTACCACATCATTTATTTAAAGTACATAAATTGTTAAAAATAATTTAGTTCTAATTTTGTTATTGAAGAGTCGGAGCCGACTCGATCAAGATCATGTGGATTAAAGAAAAGTATAAAACTTCCTATTCATAGTATTTTTTAAGATATTACTTTATGATGTATCATTGCTTTTTAATTACATTTTGTACTTAAAATAATGTTTTTATAATTATTGTTATAACCTTATAGAATCGAAGAAAAGGGAAGAGGATTTGTCGTCAGATAAAAAAAACTAATAAATAATTACTCTCTTCTGTTACTTATCAAATCATTCATTTCAAGTACATCAATTGTTAAAAGTAATCTAGTTCTAATTTTGTTATAGAAGAGTCAGAGCCGACTCAATTGACATCACGTGTATCAAAGAAAAGTATAAAACTTCCTATTCGCATTATTTTTCAAGATGATATTTTATGATGTATCATCGGTTTGTAATTTTCTATTTTATTCCATTTTTAGCTATAGAAAAAATGCTGCTCCAGTTAAGAGAGTTTTATCAATAATTTTTTTGTTTTTTGAGTCTTATCATTCGATAGTTTATTTTAGTAAACATGCATGTATCCAAGACTATTGACCATATCATTTTGATTGCTATATAATTTACCTCATTGTTTAAATAGTACTTTTAACAATCAATAACAATT